TTTCATTCATCCAGTTTCCACGCACGGAACAACAAAAGAAAAATAAACGAAGAATGGAAGAAAAACTCTCATCCAACATAATGTTTCCTCTTATTTGCACTTTCGGAGGATCCTTCGCTGGAGGAGCGATACTTCATTGACCCATGGGAAGTCAATTGTCGTGAAATTCCCCAGATGAAGAGGAAGTACTTCAGGAAGTTAATAAAAACGAGTGGATATGAAAGGAAGTGGTCAATATTTTCGTTTCTTCTTTTGTGTGCGTATCGGAACTGAATTGAATTTGTGCCACGCGTCTACATCTACTTGATAATACCAACTTTTATATAGATTTTTGTCTTTAAATCTCATGAGCTTATACATATTTCAAGTATTGCACACTTACTTTTAAATGCAAGTAAAAACAAATATTACACAATACTTGTCAAGTAATTTGTATCAATCAATAAATGTATAGTGTCTACAAATTGTTTACATGATATTTGACAAGTATGTGACATCATAGTTCCAAGTTTAATAATTAATATTGAAATATAAAATACAAATGTTTTTTATCAAAAAAAAAACAACAAAATAAATAAATTTGAAAAGTCACACATGTCACAAGTACTTTTCCAAATTAAAAGAATTTGATACAATACTTGGCAAGTACAGCGTCGTGTGCATCAACCATAAATTATGACAACTAAGTCAATTGTTTTTTTAACCTAATCTAAGTTTTGTCCATTTTTTTCTGAGTAAATCAATTTACGAAGTTTCTATAACTTTGTTGATGTAGATACTTAACATTTGTAACTGAAATTGAAAAATATATAAACTGTAAATTTTGTAGTAAAAGTTAAGAATTTTGTTAAATCCATACTGGTTTTTCAGATTTAGTTCATGAAAGAGTGAACGGAATAATAGAATGCAAAAATACTACGAGGTAGGTAGAAGGTTGTTAAATAGGAAATCAATTGTCACGGGGTGGTCGATCGGAATGGACAGGAAGTGGTGCATTATTTGCTGGTATTGCTCTTTCGGCTTTACAGATATTGAAGCTGTTTTTATTTTTCCTACAAAAACTAGGAGAATAATGGAAAAAACGATCATCGTTCACGTGCACTTTAGTAGATTTCTCTTGAAATTACAAGCATCCTCGTGGTATAAGAGCACTCCTCGACTGACCCAAGGGAAGTCAATTGTCGTAAAATTCTACGGATGAAGAGGAAGTACTTCAGGAAGTTAATAAAAACGAGTGGATAATAAAAGGAAGTGGATGAGTGAGGTTGTGGTCAATTTTTGATGGAAGCGTGCTTTGGATTATACAAATGACATAAGAAATGACATAAGGTGAAAGTAGATAAAATACGAGAAAAAGTTTAATAAAATAATGTAAATGTTTCAATAGAAATATGAAGACAATGAAAAATATTTTGATACAAGCTACTTGCCAAGTAGTGCGTGATGTAATGAGTAATACGTCAAACTTGATATAATTGTCATTGTAAACAATGAAATATACTAAATTAAAAAAAAATACATCAAACAAATAAAAACTTTTCTTAATTATAGAGGTAATTTTGATTGTCTCCATGACAATAATCGTTTGATTTTTATAGCTTTAACCTGAAGTTAAATGTGTACCAACTTCAGGTTAAATTTATACTAATAACGATAAAACAATAACTAGAGGTTAAAACTTTACTATTGTCATGTATACCAACTTTAGTTGTAAAATTTTTCGAATTACATGTATTTTTATGTGTTTTGATGTGAGCAGATTAGAAATAGTAAATTATGAATCTGTCTATTATTGATTGTCTCCATGACAATAATTGTTTCACTTTTATAGCTTTAAACTTATGTTACTTAAATTTATACCAATAACGATAAAACAATAACTAGGGGTTAAAACTTTACTATTGTCATGTATACCAACTTTAGTTATACAAGTTTTCGAATTACATGTATTTTGATATGCGTTTTGATGTAAGTAGATTAGAAATAGTAAATTATGAATCTGTCTATTATTGATTGTCTCCATGACAACAATTGTTTGACTTTTATAGCTTTAACCTGAAGTTACTTAAATGTGTACCAACTTCAGGTTAAATTTATACCAATAACGATAAAACAATAACTAGAGGTTAAAACTATTGTAATGTATAAAAACTTTAGTTATACAAGTTTTCGAATTACATGTATTTTGATATGTGTAGATTAGAAATAGTAAATTATGAATCTGGTTATGCAATATTAAACAATATTCAATGGTTGTGTGATGGGTCGGTAATGCGATTTGAGTGGTCCGAAAATGGGATTTGTGAGTCCGGGCAGACGTTCGGGCGTCTCGTGCACAAAAGCATGTACTCTTATACAATTGGACTCGTAGTAAAAAAAGAAAAACGAAGAGAGAATAATGTACAACTTCTCGTGGGGTTTCTGGGAACGAAACGCGCGGCGAAGAACGAAGCTGAGAGAAGTAGTAGAAGAAGAAAAAATGCAGAGAAGAGAAAGAATAAAAACTGGCCCTCCTCCATTGTCGTAAGTTATCCCATTCATGGGATACACGTGAATGAAGGATGAGGAGAGTGTGTGTAAGAGAGAAAGAGGACCTCCTTTGGTGTATGCAGGTACCGATAATAATACAAATAAATCACTTGCCGAAAGGGCGTAAGTGTGAGTATCTCGGATGGATGGAAGGAGAATCTGATTGAAGAACCTAATAATAAAATAAATGGTCAGGTACTCGTCATTACTATTTGCATGACACTCGGAGCGATTGGTTTCGGTTACCACGCTGAAGAACTCCAACGGATATGAATGAACTTGCTCGGACTGGACGAGTGAATGAAATCGCTTTTCCTTCCATGAATTTTCCGCAGATGTTGCTCGACTTCCTGAAAACGATCTACGCGTGGTTAATCTGTACAATAACAATAACGTACTATAAATTCTACAAAATACAGAAAACTGACAGTAGCCTAATTGGAAACGTCATAGTTTTATCTTTAATTTGCATATGATACAAACTAATTACTGATACATTTTCTAATTTGACAGTTTATAAAAAAACGAACGATAAAACCAATACAAATTAGTGTACTCATATGAAAAATGTCTTCACATTTTAGTAATTTTCTCAGAAACTTGATTGGAACCAAAAGATTTATATGAATACTAGTGTAATGAAAAATTGATGTAATGTAATGAAAACTAGGTGTAATTCGCGTTCAAAATTTAAAACATGAAAATTAACGTTCAAAAAAGCAGTGTTTTCACATTTTAGTTATTATCTCAAAATCTATAGTATAATGAATGGATCTAAAAAATGCATATCAAAACTAGATGATTATAAATTGGTGTTATTTCATTCATTTGGCTGTAATTCGCGTTCATATTTGAAAACATGAAAAAAATAACGTTCGATAAAGAGATTCTGCTTTATCACATTTTAGTGATTTTCTCAGAAACTTTAACTCAATGTTGCATTTTCAATGATCTAATTAGCTTTTGCGATCATTTAGTAATTAATTAAAAAGCAAAGATACTTTTTTTCCTGGAACTCATGTTTTCTTTGTTCAACTTTGGCAACTTATAACAAATGAAGAGTAATTGAATAAAACGTGAAGATGGTGCATTTTCATATTTGACAGCTTATAAATAACGAATGGTAAAAAAAAACAATCAGTGTACTAATTATAAAGGTATTAGTTTTATCTTTAATTTTCAATGATCTAAGTAGGTTTTGCGCTCATTTGTTTATTACTTAACTTTGACAGCTTATAACAAGAATAGTTATAGAACTTATAAAAAATAAGCAGTTTTAATAAATACACAAATCAATATACTCAAGTATACTCAGAGTAATGTTCATAATTTAATCTATACTTTACATGTTCAATGATTTAATTAGATTTTATGGTCATCTAGTAATTAAATAAAAAACAAATACACTTTTTTTCTGGAACTTTAAATTTTAATGATTTAAGTAGGTTTTGTGCTCATTTTTTCATTACTCAATTTTGACAGCTTATAATAAATGAAGAGTAATTTAATAAAACGTGTTTAAATTTGACAACTTATAAAAAACACCAAACTAAAAACATATATCAATATACTCATTAGAAAGTTCATAATTTTATCTTTAATTTACTTGTTCAATGATTTAATTAGATTTTGCGATCATCTAGTAATTAAATAAAAATCAAATACACTTTTTTTCTGGAACTCTTCTTTACTCAACTTTTGACAGATTATAACAAATGAAGAGTAATTCAATAAAACGTGTTTAAATTTGACAACTTATAAAAAACGAACAGTTTAAAGAAACACAAATCAAAATACTCATTAGAAAGTTCATAATTTTATCTTTAATTTACATGTTCAATGTTCTAATTAGCTTTTGTGGTCATCTAGTAATTAAATAAAAAGCGAAGACACTTTTTGGAACTGGAACTCATCTTTTCTTAGCTCAACTTTTGACAGCTTATAACAAATGAAGAGTAATTGAATAAAACGTGAAGATGGTGCATTTTAAAATTTGACAGCTTATAAATTACGAACGGTAAAAACAATGAGTTTTATATTATTATAAATGTAATAATTTTATTTTTAGTTTTCAATGATCTAAGTAGGTTTTGTACTCATTATTTCATTACTCAACTTTGACAGCTTATAATAAATGAAGAGTAATTCAATAAAACATGTTTAAATTTGACAACATATAAAAAACGAACAGTTAAAAAAACACAAATCAATATACTCATTAGAAAGTTCATAATTTTATCTTTAATTTACATGTTCAATGATCTAATTAGGTTTTGTGGTCATCTAGTAATTAAATAAAAAGCGAAGACACTTTTTGGAACTCATCTTTTCACGGCTCAAACTACGAATCTGGCAGTAGTCTTGTTAAAAAGGTTATAATTTTATCTTCAATTTACATATAAAAAAATCTATTTAGATGTCGTTGTTATCAAGTAATAAAACTAAGAATAAGTTGGTATATGTATATTCTATTAAATTTTATTGTGATCCAAGATACGAAGCAGGAAATTTTGAAAAGCCGGCGACTGGCTGACCATTCCCAATTTATTGGAGTCTGTTAACGAATGATCACTTGCAAGGCTTACTGAGGAATTTCCATCGTTGTTCGAAGAGACGCAAGAATCTGTCACGGATTCTTTATATTCTATTACAGCCATACACGTATTATACTACAAGAAAACATCTTTATACCAAAAGAAATAGGTAAAATCGATTAACACAACCATTTGATTATCCTCATCGGCTTTTGTGCTAACTTCGCTCGTCCTCGCAACAGCTTCCAAATTACTCTCCAAGGATTCAACACGTTCAATATGGATTTCTTCGTCCTTTAAATACAAAATTGAAATAAATTGAATTATATTCATTGAATTTAAGGACCTTCGCTTCTATTTTAACAACGCCTGAAGACAGCAAACGCATCTTCTCCAAACTCCTCTCCAGATCCAGCAGCTTCGTCTGCACCTTTTGAATGTCCCTCTCAGATTGACTGATATCAACCTGAAGAATTACCGAAGTTTATATCGCTTGTATTGATTTACTGAAAATGGTAAAAACCTCTTTGACTGATTCCTTTTCGAAATCTTCGAGAACGTCGTCGGTGACATCGGTGAGACGGCAGTTCGAATCACCGCCTTGCTTCTCCACCATAATCTTGTACTGACTTTCCAACTTCTTAAGCTTATTCTCCAGATGATCCTTCTCCCTGCTGATCACCGACATCTTGTCCTTCATCTGATTGGAGAACATGAACGCTTCCTCCAGTTTCTCCAAAGTCATCTGCTTTGTGGCCGTGTTCATCTTAATCTCTTTGGTAGCGCTCTCCAAACGCTTGATCAGCAAAGCCCTATCGTTGAGGATGTCATCAAGCTGCTGCTTCGTGTACTTGTTTTCCTTATTAGCCACGGAGAGTTGCTTCATCAGCTCCCTCTTCTCCTTGGATAAATGCTCCACCTTCCTCACGAGTGCCGAATGCTCGCGCCACGAATTCACCTGCAACTCGACCATCTCATCCTTCATCTTCGAGCATCTCTGCTGAGCGTGATTCGATAAGCTTTCCTTCAGTTCAGTCTAAACCACAAACAATATCAATAAAAAAAAAACTAAGACAATCTTAAGAAAAACCTCAGCTTTGGATAGATTCATTGTGACTGGGAAATCCTTCACCGCGTCGAGGATGGTGGGCTTCACGAATTCAACGACTTCCTCTATGTCTTCCACCGGCTTCGACTTCTTCGACTCCAGAAGCGTTACGAGCACCGGAATCTTGCTTTTACTTGCTGAAGAAGTCACATTTAAGACCGTGCTGTGTTGAATTGCCGGTTGGATTATTTCGTAATCCGCACTAGGAACTCGCTTGCTTCTGCAACGATAATCACATAACAATTGCCATAAATTAAGATGAAAAACCATTTACAGAGCGTGCTTGATCAGGTTCATCAAGTAGCAGACGCAGATGGCCAAAGTGAACGAGAAGAAACTCCATAGCAGGATTTGCTGCACCTCGAATTTCGAATCGTAAATTGCCTTATAACTTGGTTTGCTTGATTCTTCCAAATCTATAATAATATTATTTAAATTCAAGAAATTTACTGGTAAAAAAAATGCAGAAAGAAACTTTAAATTGAATTTAAGCTCGTAACAATTCAAGTACCTTCAAGTCTACTGGAAAATTCGTTTTTACGCAAGATGCTGCCGAAGATGTTCTCGATGCAGCACATGGAAGACCAGAAGACTAGGCCGAAGCAGCACAAGACCTTCCAGCAGACGCGCATCCTGTCTTCCGGTCGGGAGAATTCCTCATCCAGAAGAAAACGAACTGAATTTAATTGTCGTCGCTCCAGTGGTTGTTCGAGATCCTCATAATGCGAGGGCAAAAATAAAATTAACAAAAATAATAGACGATATTAGGATGTCAAGAGGAATTCTGACATGTGTAAAACATAATTTTTTGACGAATGATGGCTGGATTTAAGTTCAATTTTATAATTTCTTAATAATGACTGGTACTTAGCAAAATTCAATTGTTTATAGTAAATCCACCAAATCTTTATTTGAACAAAGTTTTCAAAAGTATAACAAATTTTCTGCAACATTACGAAACTTAATTAATGAATGAGATTTAGTTTATTGTTGTTAATAATGACTTCTAGATTGTAAAATTGTTATTCTAAATTACATATCTCCAGTAATTCCAGTAATTTTACTTAAATCTAAAAAAATATTTGTACTGAAATATTTCATTTACAAATTCTATGCAAGTCTCAGATTAATTGCATTAATTAGTTAAGTATTTCAGTTCACTTTTAGTCTTCGTATGTTGGAAATTGAAAAGAATAAGTAATAATTATTGATGAATATAATTATTCAAAAGTTTTTACATAATATTTTCTTTATATTAAGAATGATAGCATTTTTATTAAAGATTTCTTAATGTTGTCTAAAATACTGAATAGTGTTTCTTTTCCTTACTTTTATTATAGGCAACCAAATTTACGAACTTGTATTATCACCTAGTATACTGTGTATACTCAAAACCTAATTAAATAACAATTAAATTAGTATTAAAGTAAATTAATAATTATAATCTAATAATGTGATAATAATATTTACAAAATGCAAAGCTTCTTGAAGTTAGGTAAGATTCTATGTAACGTTCATTGTATACTTCAGATGACTGTGTGGCGGGAAACCTCGCTCATCAAAAGTTTACTGCTCCTAACCTAACAAATTTAAAGGGCTTCAAAACAAATCACAAAGTGCCTTAGTCCAATTTTTACAAAATGTATATAAAAGTGAGGAAACTTGGTGCGAAGCCGGGAGACGACGATCTTCTAGTCAACTTATCGAAGAAGGCAAAGATCCAGGAGCTGAGGAAAATGATCCAGGATGAATGGAGCATCGAACCGGAAAAGCAGAGGCTCTATTACAAAGGCAAGCAATTGATTGATGATCATGAACTTTTTGAGTACGGAGTGCAATTGAACGATGTCATCCAGATGTTGATTAAAGCTGAAGATAAGAAAGAAGAAGTTAAAGAGGAATTGATTAAGAACAGCACCGTTCGTGAGGAGGTCGTGGCTCAGAGTAAATATTATAAAGTAGGTGATAAGATTGATATGAGGGACACAAATGGCTGCTGGTTCGAGGCCAAAGTGGAGAAGATTTATAGTAATGGAGATGATACTGGGGCTAAGGAAGAACCGGAGTTGTTTTTCAAATGTCTGCAGGAAACGAATTTCCTTCCTGTTCGTTTGGAGGTAAGCTTTGATAACTTGAGGCCTCGCTCGTATAAAATGTATAAGATGAGCGAATTATCGCCGGGGATGACTGTACTTGTGAATTACAATATTGACGAGTCGAAGGAACGTGGCTATTGGTACGATTTCAAGATCGCGTATAAATTCGTTAAAAGTATAAAAGGGACGTTGTTCTTTGGACGCGATAGAAATCCGCTGGAGAATGTAACTGTTAAATTCGTGGATGAAGTGCTGAAGATTGAGAAACCCGTTTTACTTGATGAGCGAGTGGATGTTAAGGAGCTGGACGGACTGGAGCTACGCAAAGTGCCTTATTACTGTAAGAAATGTAAAGATGTACCTGATAAGAAGTGCAGAGAGTGTGGTTGCAGGGTGTGCTTTGGTAAGAACAACGTGGAGAACATGTTGCTCTGCGATGAATGCGATGACGGTTACCACATCGGTTGTCTGAATCCCCCGTTGACGGAGATCCCTGAAGAGGAGGAATGGTATTGTCCGTCGTGTAAAACCGATGAGAACGAGATCGTTAAGGCAGGGGATAAGCTGAAGTTCAGCAATAAGAAGTCGAAGATGCCAAGCGCGAAAGATGGAACTGCGAGGGATTGGGGTAAGGGGATGGCGTGCGTGGGGAAGACGAAGGAATGCACCATCGTTTCCAAAGACCATTTGGGTCCCATTCCCGGAGTGGAGGTCGGCACGTGCTGGAAGTACAGGCTGCAGGTCGCCGAAGCCGGCATTCACAGACCCATAGTTGCAGGCATCCACGGGAGATCGTGCAGCTTCGCTTACAGTTTAGTCCTGAGCGGAGGCTACGAGGACGACGTCGATAATGGAAACGAGTTCTTGTACACCGGATCAGGTGGAAGAGATTTGTCCGGTAACAAGAGGGTCAGCGAGCAGAGCTGCGACCAAACTTTGACAAAGCTGAACAAGGCTCTAGCTATGAACTGCAACGCGAAATTCAATGCAAAGGACGGAGCCGAAGCTAAAGATTGGAAAGGAGGAAAACCCGTGAGAGTAGTGAGAAATTACAAAGGCGCAAAGCATTCCAAATACGCGCCAACTGACGGCAATCGTTACGACGGAATCTATAAAGTAATCAAGTATTATCCAGAGAAAGGAAAATCCGGCTTCATCGTGTGGAGGTACAAGTTGAGGAGAGATGATCCAACACCGGCGCCGTGGGAAGAGGGCGGTCAACAATTCGACATGATCTATCCAGATGGTTACTTGGAAGCTCAAGAGAAGAAAGGAACCAAAAGAGTTTTAACTGACGCCTCGAACTCTTCTCCAGCGCCGAAGAGAACCAAAACCGAAGTCTACAAATTGCCGGCGGACGTTAAATCTTTGATAGACGAAGATACGGGGAACGCAAAGTCGTGGAAGGAATGCAAGGAGTGTTTGAGGGATGGAAAAGTGAAATTCCTGGAGAAGGTCGAAGAGATCTTCATGTGCATCTGCTGCCAAGAAGTCGTCCATCTTCCTGTCACCACGCAATGCTCCCACAACATCTGCAGGAGTTGTTTGAGAAGATCATTCGCTTCGGATATTCACACGTGTCCGTATTGTCGTTTCGAGTTGGGTCGCGGTTACGAGATGAAGATTAACGAAGCTTTAACTAAAACCCTCCAGAAACTCTTCCCAGGTTACGAGACGTCTCGTGACTAAACATAATGATGCACCTTTCTAGTATTAATTAGTATATTTAATAATATTATTATTTTTTTTCTATTATTTAACGTTATTTTACACTATTATTGTTTACCTATTCTATTCTGTATTATGGTACAAGTCCTTACAATAAAAATAATTACTTTTTATTACTTATATTCAGACCTTTCTAGTACAAATCAATCTTTTTTTTTCCAAATATTTAATACAAATATCAATGAAATTTGAAAATTAACTCAATTTGTTAATAAATACCAACTTAAAATATTGTAATAAAATGCACCACGTTTTTAATTATTAACAATTTAAGTATAATTTTTATTTCCAATTTTATTTGATATACAAGTCTATAATTAATTATAATTATAATGATTTTTAGAGACAAATTTATTAAGATTTTTTTCGATTATTCCGTAAATGTAAACGTTTTATTATTACATAATAAATAGAATTTTATTGCGCTTCTTTTTATATAATAATTGTTATATATATGTGACATGTACACTTTTCGATTTGTTTGTCAAGTCTTCACGTTTTATTTAATTACTCAATAACCACGTACGCTAATTGCATCATTAATTGTTCAAATTGAAGCTAAAATTATGGTCTTTCAATTGAGTGAAAGTAAAGTCATAGAATATTCGTTAAAATAACAACATTTTATATTTATTTACATGGTAAATTAATTTGAACACAACATGGTGGATTATATTATTTTTGGTTGGTATCTTTTTATTCTTCATGATCCAATTAATTTGGAGGGAAAAATGTATATTTTCAGGCTGAAATTATAATTGCATTCAAATCAATATTGCTATTATAGTTCATAAAGTTGCAAATTTTATAAATGAGATGAGATTGATTATTTTTTGTAATTATTCTAAAGATTCATGGGTTCAATTTGAATTTGTGATTTAATGTGTTAATACGTAGAAAATTAAGTTATGTAATTGTTTATGTAATTTGTATATAATGGTATAAAAATTTGCAAACAAAAAAAAATGCATTATTTGATGCAACTTGTTGAATTGATGTAACAGGTGAATTCTGTTTCTTTTCGTTGGCAACCATTGAGAAGGTACGAGAGGTTGCATAAATTATTATGTATGGGTTTTTGGCTCCATTCGATTTGGAGGGAATAATGTGCACTTTGAAGTGAATTTTGATGTCGATTCAGCGAGAAAATGTCGAAAAATGTACTTCAGCCGTTGGACGTGAATCGCACGAGTATGGATCGGTCGCCTGTGAGGTAAGAGCAACCTTTCCCATTCAAAAATCAATGAAAAGATCGAAACAAAAGAGTTTCGCCACCCCAGAAGAAGAAAAAAAAAACCAGACCTGGGATTCGCACAAAAAAAACAATTGAAATTCCAGGTTATAGTGGTCCGGAAAGCGAACTGGTCGTGGATGCAAACTCGATCGTGCATCTGCTCGAATACACGTTAATATTTTTCGTCTATCGTCAAGATGTTGTGCATGTATGTACATCGAGCTTCAAGGCCTGCATGCTTTCGTTTTGTTGTTTTTTATTTTTTAAATTTAATTCTAAAACAAGTATTAAACATTTATAACTTAATAACAACTGTTTTATTTCTTTGTGCAGGAAGAGGGCCAGGTATGATTCTCCAGTGAAGGAAGGATGGAGCCTCACATCACACAATTTGAAGCTGGATGAAGTCTTTGATTTTGGTGTTGGTGTATTGAATTCTGATTCTGAAACGCAAACTGATGATGAGGAGTGTCCTCGAGATGCATCCAGTTATGATGACTGTTTGGAACCAACTGCAGAACCTGTAAGTCTTTAAACATCTTTAAATTCAATACAAATTGTTTATATTACTATAACACATTTAATAACTGAAATAGGGTAGAAAACTTACTGTTTTCTAATTTGAACTCATCTTTCAATTAAATTGGAAATTGGCAACTAATAAATACAATATTTTTATATTAGAAATAATGGAAAATTGGGTAGTTTTAAATAGAAATTACACTTTAATTTATAATTTTATCAAAATTATTTATTTTTTTAGGATGAACCAGCAGCTGACTCAATCTCGTTAGACGATTGGGATGGATTTTTAATTAAAAAACCAGTCATATCGAATACCTCAATTGGTAAGATTTTATTTTTCACCTGATATTAACAGAAAACTTATTAAAGTTGCTTTACAAATTGTTTTAAAATAAGATTTATATGAATTTCTTTTTGTTTCGCAGATCAGTTTTGTCGTTTATCTGATGAAGTGATTCTTCACATATTCCATTTCCTTCCCAAAAGGCAGCTGACGCAAATCGCGTGCGTCTCGAAGCGTTTCCACAGATTAACCGAAGACGAGAGTCTCTGGGCGAGGATGGACGTGTCCAATCGAGTTTTATATCCTGGTGCTCTCGGTCAGATCCTCAGCAGACAAGTGGTGATTCTGCGATTGGCGCAGAGTGAGATCTCACATCCTGCCATTATGCCGGACTGCCGAGCTTCGAACGAAGACTTCCAGTCGCGTCTCCTCTACTTGGATTTGAGTCTGGTGCACGTATCACCAGAAAGTTTGACGTCGCTCTTCACCAAGTGCCAGAGACTCAAGAAACTCAGTCTCGAGCACGTCCAGATCAACACGGAAGTGCTTCAAGCTTTAGCGCAGAACAAAGAGCTGGAGGTCTTGAATCTGGCGATGGTCCAGGGGATCGAAGTTGACGGATTGAAGGTTCTCCTCAAAAATTGCAAAAAGTAAGTCTTCTTTTTTTTATTGATAATCTAATCATTTCGAAACGCACAAAGCAATAATGTGTAAGCGATTTTGTCGACTTTACAAAATCTTGACGGCATCAGCAAAATTTAATGAAAAAGTACAGCGAACTCAGCATTTCACAACTCTTTCATTATCACTCTTTTCAAAGTAGAAAAAAAGTGCCATCACCAATCCAAATGTAATCCACTAGAAACGATGCTTAACTTTCCTTATATATCAAATATGAATATAACATATAAATGGATTCTAAAGGTTTGGACACCCCTGCTCAGTGTTTAGAGAAATATAAACAAATTTGTTCTTAATTAATCTTCTATCGTGGATAAAAGGCTTTTCCAAAGAATTTATTTCTACATTTGTGGTAATTACTCATTTATAAGTCGTTGTCGTTGCTTGTATCTGTTTTGCTATGTTAATTGAGAACTTGCACCTAAAAAGCATGTATTGTTAGACTAGGGGTGTCCAAACGAACTATAAGTCGTTGTTTGTATCTGTTTTGCTATGTTAATTGAAAACTTGTACCTAAAAAGCATGTATTGTTAGACAAGGGGTGTTCAAACCAACTATAAATCATTGCTTATATCTGTTGTTAATTGGAAACTTATACCTAAAAATTATGTATTGTTAGACGAGGGGTGTCCAAACGAACTTTAAATCGTTGCTTGTATCTGTTTTGCTATGTCAATTGAAAACTTGTACCTAAAGGACAAGGGGTGTCCAAACGAACTTTAAATCATTGCTTGTATCTGTTTTGCTTTGTTAATTGGAAACTTATACCTAAAAATCATGTATTGTTAGACGAGGGGCGTCCAAACGAACTTTAAATTGTTGGGGTGTCCAAATGTTTTGTTTTGTTGAATTATTTGAAATTCTAATATTTCTGATGTGTTACGTCAGGTTACGCGAATTAAATTTGGCGTGGACGTTTCTGAGTTGTCCTTCCATCAAACTGTTGTGCGCTCAACTGCCGAAGACCCTGGACAGACTAAACATATCCGGATGCCGGAAACTACTCACCGACAACTGTAAGTCTACCACTATCACAAACCACAACTAAATGCATCCATCCATTACTGAACTTACGCTAATGACAATTACATAAAATTTTACATACAGACGTCCTGGACTTGGTAAAATCATGCCCCGGACTGAGAGAACTCGACCTATCCGACTGCACAGGCCTGACGGGGACCGCAATACATCACATAATCCTGCTGGAGGATCTCAACTTCCTCGCGCTCTCGCGCTGCTATCTCATCCCCTACAGATCCCTGCTCACGCTCAAGAAGGTCAAATCTCTGGTGTATTTGGACGTACACGGAGGATACATCGACTACACCGAGCTGAGGATTATCCAGGATGGATTAGGGAGTCACATACACATCAACAAGTTCAAGTTTAGCTCGGTGGCGCGGCCCACGGTTGGCGCCAGACGATCATCCATATGGAATATGCGAGTGCGTGACTAACCAACGACGTACAACAAACAAGACTGAGAGAGAGAGAGAGAGAGAATTTGAACAACGAGTCAAATATGAGAAACCTCGATGAAAATTGTGATAATAAGTAAATAATAATTTTTTTTTTTTGTTTGTACGACATCAAGTGATAACGGAAATCCGCTTACGTTCCCTTCATCATTATTTTTGGTTGTATTTTCTTCGTCTTTCCTTTATACCTATCATATAAAGAAATGATATATTTATATATATATAAACAAATATATGTTTGTGTATGTACGTCTACCAAGAAAACTATATAGTAATTATACATGCTCTGGTATTATCAACTGTTATGTTCTACTTTCTATTACAGAAAGTTATTTATAGCTAAATTTATTTAACAAAAATTAATTATAATTAATACCTCGTGCGAGTTTTTTTTTTAGTAGCCTTTGTGTTTTGTTTAATTTTTACGGTACTTCATTAACAAATCATGTAGCCAGCGATACAGAAAGTGTATTATAAAGTTTATATAGATTATATATTTATACGTATATATGAAGGTTTTTGAATAGGTGCATATAGCAATAAATCGTATATTTCGTTAATCCCTCTTTTTATGTGGTTCTTAGGACTTTATATTGTAACAAACGCATGCAGAAGAATTTATACATTTATATTAATTGTCAATAAACGATCTCTGAATAATTTAACACCCGAGTTTATTACGTAATTCATCTAAATTAGTTCATAGTATATCGAATTTTTGAACTTCTTTAATTGTAATTAAGTCGAAAAATTTAAAATATTTGTGATTTAAGTTGCATAATCCATACAATTTTACTCTTTATTTTTAGGAATTTTCTTTATAATTATGTAATATTTTTAGTTTTTATTGATGAACTATTATAACAATGTCATTTAATTAAATTTCAGGTGTTTATTCCTATTTATTTAATACAGATATACCCGAAAATAGTCGAATTTGAATGAATGTCAGATTGGACTTATTGTCAAAGCCTGTGAATAAAGATAGGTTATATAAAAATAATCCAAAGGAAATATAAATAATGTCTTCGTTAATAACGAATATCTTGAGAATATCCAGGAGGCAACTTCTACCACAAGCCAAATTGACGAAGGTAACATTAGAAAATAACATTTTTCATTCAATAAATTTGTTTTTCTCTTAGTGTTTGATGCAGAGTAGATGTTATGCATCAAGTCCAGGCAAGAAAACTGTGGCTGGTAAAGGAAAAGGTCCGATTACGTGGAAGAGTTTCGGGATAACGGCAGCAATCGGTGGAGGAATACTCGGTTTCATGTTGTACGTGAAAAAGGAGAAGGAGGAAGCCCAGCTGAAGGAGAGGCAGAAGATGCTTGGGAAGGCAGCAATTGGTGGCCAGTTTGAGCTTATCGATAGTGAGAAGAAGATGAGGAAGAGCGAAGAGTTTTTGGGGAAATGGTTGCTCATATATTTCGGGTTCACACATTGTCCTGACATCTGTCCAGATGAGCTGGAGAAGATGGCCAGTGTTATTGACACATTGGGTATATTGAAAATTGCTTTAGTTTTGGACTTGTTAATTTGAACTATTTCCTATTTGCAGATGTGGATGAGAAAGTGCCCGAGGTGCAGCCTTTGTTTATAACAGTTGATCCCCACAGGGACACGCCCGAATTGGTTGGAAAGTATTGCAAGGAGTTCCATCCGCGTTTGCTCGGATTGACTGGTAACGAGAAGCAAGTTTCAGAAGCGTGCAAAGCGTATCGGGTTTACTTCAGCGCCGGACCGAAGGACGAAGAGAGCGATTACATCGTCGATCATACAATTATTATGTACTTGGTGAATCCTAAAGGGGAATTCGTCGATTACTACGGACAGAATAGGAACGCCAGAGAAGTCGCCGATTCCGTTAAGATCAACATGATGAAGTACGACCAGATCAACAAAACCGGATGGTTCTCGAAGTGAACGTTCTCTTGCTGAAGCGCATGTATTATAGCATTTATCATTGTTGTCTATTATTTAAATAGTTAATAAACATAATTTTTTACAATCTTGTCTCTTCCAATTAACACACACTGACTAGCATGTAGTGTTTGGAGACACAACAAAACTGTTGCTAAGATACAAACAAATTCTATTTATAATCAAGTCTTTATTCGTTTGTACAATATATAATACTTATCTAAACTGAACATGAACTACATCTAAACCCATGATTCCATTGAGATCCAATTGGGAAGAATCAAACAATCCTAACAGCTAACATAGTCGAAATGTTCGACTCTAATAAAACAAATGACACGCATAGAAAAAATAAAATGTTTCTAAAGATAATTATTGAGGTTGCTTAGGAACAAACTGTTGCTTTGGTAATGGATGTTTGTTTACCACGAGAGTGCCGAATCCGCTTTCGACCATTTGTAGAAACCACCGCGTTTCTTGAACATCGCCTCGTCGAATCCGGAAAACTTCAAAGCATTGTTCACGCCAACATCGAGTATAGATTTGGATGGTTCCTTGCCGCCTCTCGTGCAGTCCAAAAATCTCATCTAAAAATTTATATTTTTTTTTATTAATTTGTAACAATTATACCTAAAATGTAATGCTTACATATTCGTCTAAGATCAAGTAGCTGTTCTGCATGTGCTTATTGGATTCTGGTACTAAACACTTCACATGTTGATGGCTTTCTATGAACTTATCAAACATGTTGTCTTCTATGTAGAATTGCTCTGCGTTTCTCAAGGCTGTCTCTCCTGCGTTCTCGCCGTCGATCAGAAGACATTGGAAAACCTTCCATCTGCGTATAAAAATTGATTGTTAATTAACTTTTTCGATTCGAATTTTGAAGATTTTTTTTTTACCTGATTGGATTCAGTCTCTCGATCTCTTCGGACATGTCTTCGTCGTAGTTGTAGGTATTAACGACCGTGTTGATTTTGAAGAGTACATCGTATTGCAAACACCAATTTCGCACTTTGTGAAGCTTGTCCAAGTGGCTCTTCTGCCCCTGGCCTCGTCCAATCGCCTAAAATTCAAAAGTAAAGAAAAAGCATACATTAAATATCGCATAAAGTTAATTATACTGATTTTATCATGTCTACACATTTCATTTAATTACTCGATAACTACATAAATCAACTATATTATTAAATACACATATTAAAGATAAAACTGTAGCCTTTCCAACAAGCTCTTTCTTAAATTTGTGACTATCAGATTTTTCGTGTAATAAATTTTCAAAATTTGCATTTGCAAAACAATATATCGTTTTAACATGTCTTGACATTTTATTTAATTTCTCGATAACTGCATAAATCAACTAGATTGTTAAATACGCATATTAAAGATAAAACTATAGCCTTTCCAACAAGCTATTTCCCAAATTTGTGACTATCACAGTTTTCGTGTAACAAATTTTCAAAATTTGTCTTTAGAAAAATAATTAATATTGTGTATATTTGGTTGCATATATTTCAAACGGAATTTTTAACATGTCTTCACATTTTATTTAATTTCTCGATAACTACATAAATTAACTAAATTATTAAATACGCATATTAAAGATAAAACTATAGCCTTTCCAACAAGCTCTTTCCCAAATTAGTAACTATCACAGTTTTCGTGTAATAAAATTTCAAAATTTGTATTTAAAAAAAATATCTTGTATGTTTGGTCGCATATATTTCAATCAGAAATTTTAACATGTCTTCACATTTTATTTCATTTCTCGATAACTACACAAAACAACTAAATTATTAAATACACATATTAAAGATAAAACTGTAGGCTTTTCACAAGCTCTTTCGCAAATGTATGACAATCACAGTTTTCGTGTGACAAATTTTCAAAATTTGTCTTTAAAAAAAGTATCTTGTGTATATTTGATCGCATATATTTCAATCCAAAATTTTAACATGTCTTCACATTTTATTTAATTACTCGATAATTACATAAATTAACTATATTGTTAAATACGCATATTAAAGATAAAACTATAGCCTTTCCAACAAGCTCTTTCCCAAATGTGTGACTATCACAGTTTTCATGTAAGAAATTTTCAAAATTTGTCTTTAGAAAAATAATTTATCTTGTGTATATTTGGTTGCATATATTTCAATAAGAATGTTAAACATGTCTTCACATTTCATTTAATTACTCGATAACTACATAAAGCAACTTGATAATTAAATAGGCTCATTAAAGATAAAACTGTAGCCTTTCCAACAAGCCCTTTCTCAAATTTGTGACTAACACAGTTTTCAAAATTTGTCTTAAGAAAGAAAGAATTTTTCAAAAAAAAAAAATCAAATATCTATTGATTATTAACTGTTTTTATAAGTACACATCAATGGGTATTTAATTCCTAATATTTTGATGTAAATATCGTCAAGTAATATTAGTTTTGTAAATTTGTAATTGCAAATCTTAAATGTTTCGAAAAATGCAAAATCAATAAGATTTTTGTTTATTTTTACAAATAAACTTACCAAACTTGCTACACATTTTACTATCACGGAACAAGTGGTCTTCTATTACGCTACTTTTGTTATAAAAAAAATTACTTAACGTTAATTATTAACTGAGAAATGATTATTTTCCGATTTTTTGTCACGTCTTCACGTTTAATATAACTACTCGATAGTCACGTATTGCAAGTAAATCATAGATTATGTAAATTAAAGACAAAAGTACAGCCTTTAAGCCTACTTTCAAATTTTTGTATATGCAGTGTCTTTGTGTTCGCCCATGAATTCTATTTATAAAAAAAGGGCAGATTACGCGAAATATTTGGTGTTTGATAATGTTTCAGTGAATCATATTTGGATAATTATAAAATATTAGGATGTTATCAAAATGCATCCGTTTTAGATAGCATTCATGGAAGTCGTTATCTGCACGATTATATATATATTTTTTTAATTATTATTATTTATTATGAAATAATTTACAATTTTAATCGTCGTTTTAAAAAAAAAAGTATCAAAAAATTTGTCTCAAAAAAAAATAAAGCAATTATGCAAGCAATAAATTACAGTTATTAATAGGTAAATAAGGTATTTATAAAAATGACAAAGTTTTACCTTGTTTGTTTCTTCGTGGAAGGAATCGCAGGAAACTGCGAGGATGTCGACGAAACGGCCGTACTTTTTGAACCATTTTTCGTGTATTAAAGATCCGTTAGAGACGATGCTCACAGATGGAAGACCCAAATCTTCTTTGCAGAACTGCACCATTTTACCCAGATGTTCCCCTCTGTTGATCAGAAAAGGCTCTCCGCCGCTGAAATTAATCTTCTCCATCCCTACAACAAGAACATTTTACAATTTTTCACAGATTTGAAATTGCGTAAGAATGATGCAATTCAAAGAAATGCAAGTAAATTGCAACATACAAAAAAAGAACATATTTTCTTTAATCAGATTTACCTGCGTCCTTTAATAGTCTCAGTCCGACTTTGGCGTCCTCCAGTTCGAGCAGATACGAAGTTTTCGCGGTGTGAAAGCAGAAGCCGCATTCGTAGTTGCATTTTCGAGTGAAATGATAGTTGACGCTCTTCGGAACGATCGCATCCTCTTCGAGTACACGGGAATAATTCGAAAAGAGAAGGTCGTACCATGTTTGAAGAAACGTGAGGAGAATCTTCAGGTTCTTTTGAAAAACCTGATTGAAGTATATCAGTTGCATTTTCTCTGATTGCGGAACGAACGTTGTGTTTATGCGCTTCTGTCGCACGTCGCGCAACTTTATATGACTGTGGCAAAGCTGTGAATACCCCGATTCTATGCACGCATCTAAATATATATAGATTTGCAAACTTAATTATCGTTAAAATTGTTAGAGATTTACGAATGAGATTTATAAATCGATGATAAAGCGTTCCTGGATGACTTCGTCTACTACGTGCCTGCCTAAAACAGCTCATATCTGTTTACATGAAAAAACTGCTAACCGTTGATATTATTAAAACTTGGTTACACAAAACTTACTCCGATCTATTGATGAATTCAATCTAAAAATCAGTCTCCATAATTTATCTTATTTATTGCTCGTATTACCATGGCTACCATTATTTTTAATTCTGAAGACTTAATGTTGTCATGGATACCAAATTATAGCAATTTGTATATATAATATTCAGTTGATTTTGTCAATTTAATGATGAATTCAATCTAATAATCTAGACATACATAAAAAGTCTCCAAGTTTATCCATGTTTTATCTTATTTATTGCTCGTATTACCATGGGTACCATTATTTTTAATTCTGAAGACTTAATGTTGTCATGGATACCAAATTATAGCAATTTGCTATATATAATATTCAGTTTTTTTTTGTCAATTTAATGATGAATTCAATCTAATAATCCAGACATACATGAAAAGTATCCAAGTTTGACAAGTTTATCCATAATTTTAGTTATTTATTGGTCGTATGACCATGGATACCAATTTTTATTAAGTATTAACACTTGATGTTGTCAAATCATACCAATTCGGTATATATATAACAGTTGTCGTGTCCCAGGGATGGTTTCTGGACACTGTGGGATATCTTCTTCTGTGTCTGTTGTGGAGCCTTAGGTTTGGTAAATAATGAATTAACGAGTTTTACTTTGGTTTATTATTAAAATATTCTTTAAAGTGTTTGTTTATTGTAGTTCTTCCCTCAGCCATACGTCTAAGACTCTATAGTTGTTTCTTTAACGTTCTTCTTAAGACTAATTACAAATTCTTATTTTACGTATAAAATTACTAAGCAAGGGGATGGAGTTTG